ACCGCACACCGATCGCCAAACGACTGACCTTGACTGGGGCCGAAATACTTTAAAACCAGAGAGCCCGGGGCTGCTCAAAAGGCATCTGCCATGCGCAACCGCATTAGGATTCGGATGACTGTGCCTCACTCCCTTCGTCCTTTGGTTGGACCAGTTCCCCGTGACCAAGTGAGTCAGGCTTATGAATCTATGGCTCGGGGAAGAGCCTCTCAAAATAACCCTAACAACTGCTGTTTCGCCGTTCAAACTTTTAAGTCAAGAACTGAATAAAAGTCCTGAAGCAGAATCTTACGTAACCCCATTGCCTTGTAGGTCAGGCTCCTGAGTCAAAGGCACAAGGTGGGAATCCTCAATCAAACCCCCTTCGGTCTGGGCAATCGGGAATTGTCATTCACCCATACAGTTTTTCGTTCACTGACTCCTCTTCACACGCCCCTCAACCAAGTTCTGATTCATTTAGCTGCCAGTTGTCAAACCATTGCTGTGTATCTCAGGTTCTGCCTAGTTAAATAAATCAAAACGAACCCTTAGTAATTTCAAATGTTCTTTTGTACATTGTGGCTTTAGGCCTCCGTAGTCTATATCAAATTGGGTAACTGGTAGCTACTGCTGTTCTCTCTCTGGGTTGTGTGAATAGTCTCCAAAACAGGCATCCTAGACGTCATTCTGTAATTTATCTCAAACCGCCCGGTACTATGCCAGGTTCCTCGCACTTTTCTCTCCGATCATGTGGTAGTCCTGGTGCGATGTCTTGTGTCCATGGCGTTTGATTTGTGCTTAGCCCCAGGGGTGAGTGCACCTTGCTAAACTGGTCGCCTTTATGTTGTCGAGTTGATTGTTTCAATCAGCATCAGGGGTTCGCAACGTGGTAAAGGGTTTTTGTTTGTTCTTTCAGCCTAAGCTCGGACAGGATGCAGCTCTGAGGCTGAAAAATCCCAGCTTCTATCGAGGCTTATCACGGCTGTTCTGGTCTGCAAGAAGCACGTGCGCCGTAATTCTAGTAGGCGATATGAATTCTCAGGCATCCTCATTCTGAGGGCAGGGGCATCTAATCGGCCGATTCCTAATTGACATTCACCGCACAAATAGTGGAAAGCGACTTCGGTTATGTGCTGGACATCATTCGTTTCTAGTCCACATAAGTTCTCAGCGCAAGTGTGACTTACAGGCCACTAGCTGCCCACCATCCGTAGACTCAGTTCGATCATTTTGGTACCAGCTGCCGGTGGGAATCCATACACGATTGTAGCTCATTTTGGAGTACACCACTGGACTCTGATCACGGCATTGCGCGAACATGTGTATCTGTTCGCTTCCCCCGGGACAAGTCAGCTGATGCAAAAGCACTCAGTTCACCGCCTACAAAGCATCTCTGTAGCTCAACGTTTTCGAGTTGGTTTGTCTTGGGAGCGTTCAGAACTCAGTAGATACGATGGTAGTAATGGTAATTTGGATGAGGATTAGAGAAAGATGAAGTAGCCGTAATCACAGCCCTTCAAATGATCTGTCCTAGTTTGCTCGCACACCGGGATGAACATTGGGTCTAGTGTCGAAGCTTTTGCACAAATTGATCTAGATTTTTATCTCCGTCTTGCTTACAAGTATTCAAATCACGTCGAGCTGTAAACACTAGGAGCCACGTATTTGAACAAGGTTTTCAGTTCATCTGGTGAATGAGAAGCAATGGAGTGAAGGAAATTCGCGAAAGCACAAAACCAGTGTTTCGAGATATCTGCCGAGCCTTGAGTTGTGGAACCAGTTACGAACCGTTGTGGGCGTGAGAATCGATCCATTGTCCGATGAAACCTTTTGGATGGATAAGTTGCTGCTTCTAGGCCTTCGATCTTTTCCATTCGTACTCTGATTGTCGCCGTACTCCGTCCCTAGTCAAACATCTCATCACAATCAGCAGCTTCGACTGAGTTAATGAAAACTATACCAGCAAGAAAGGACTATGGTGGCGTGCTCAGATCCTCCACACGTGGAATAATGAAGGATCTAAGGATCGACAGAGCGCTGATGGATCTCGAAAGTCACAGTAATGGAGAATGTTTTTGTAACAAGAAACAATCGAACTTTGTATCAGCTAATTCGACCAACTAGTCTGAAGACGGTGGGTGTTGGTGAAACAATCCGTGAAAAAGATTCGACATCGGTTCATTCACAGAACAGCATCGTCTTGAACGATTGGTTGAACGCTTCGGAGAACCACCATAATTTAAAACTCTATAAGAACCAACTGAACCCGAGGGGAACGTGGATACCATCCAGGCATCCACGACGGAAGTTCAGCGCGCAGTCTTATTGCCCCATCGCAAGATGGTTTGTATCCTGCACTCTTCAAGGGTTGTGCGTTCCCCGTTGCTATCCTGACAGCTTGACTTCAAAGTATCTAGAATAAGGGAAGTATACCAACAGAATGGAACACCTTGACGGTGATTTCAAAACGAGTACAAGGACATTGTGTAAAAACCACCGAGGCATGAATTTAGTGTTCTTAGCTTCCGATGTATCATCTGGTAGTATCCTGCAAAGGTTGCTCCACTATCAGAATAGTCAGATTCACCAGAATCAAGCTTTGTTTCGTCGTGGTCTAGGTTGCACTAATCATGTCTTCGCCCAGCACCAAGTATTGGAATGAAATCAATCCATCCAAGGACCAACAATGTTCGTATTTCTGAATCTCCAATCTGCTTTTGATTCCGTTGATTATCAGAAACTCCGGTAATAGCTAGTGATGAAATATGTCCCCTCTGAATTCTTGTCCCTTATAAGGGCCTTACGTGTCTCCTGTCATGTACACGTATGTATCTACGGCAAATTCTCTCTTGAGTTCACTATATCCGGTGGTATCAGGCAGATATGTCCTTCCCCGCCGCGACCCGAACTCTCCTACTTTATGGACCGGGGACATGGTCGATGTGCTTGGAAGACACTCGTAGATTCTCTGTTTGACTATCCGTGCCTCCGAAGCATTGCGCGAGTCTAGTAGGAGCGTCAGATCAGTAATACCGAAACAGGTCAGATGGTTTTTGGGAATGTTCATTCTCCCCCGGTAGACTAACTGATCGCACTCCAAATGTTCCACTGGTTAGGTCATGTGCTTCAAATGCTAGAGGACGATTCGCCTCATTGAGCCCTCTTCGTCCGTCCTTGCATGGGATGGAAAAGACCGGGCGATGTTCAGTCGATAACTTGGCAAAAAAGCATGAAAGCTCTCACCAGTCAATGGAGCCACTTTGGTAACTGCCATCTACCCGGATAGGGAGCGCGGGTGACCCTAACAGATATGGCTGTGCCGTTCAGTCAATGGCGGTATTGCATCAAAGCTATTTCTATTGCGTAGCTTTCACTTCCCTTCGTACTGAATAGACAGATCCATTGGTCATCAATACACAGACTGGGGCATCGTCTCCAACGCGTGGCTATCGTTCCTCTATTCTACTTATCCTCGGTATATGAAACGGTTACAGCTGGAACTACTGCTAGGCACCGAAAGGGTGCTATAGCCGAATTATCATTATATTATCGGTCATGAGGATTGTGGAAATTCCTCGGTCCAGTCGTCAGGGCGTCCGTTACTGAAAATGGTCTTGCTGGTTTGATCATTGATAGTTTCGCTCTTTGGTGTGAATCCACCGAAATAGTGGACCTTCCATTTTCCTAGCCTTTCTTGACCATGAGGCTTCACGGTCGACGCGCACGCTCACTCCCACTTGGCTCCGATAATTCGTCGCGCTGAATTATGTCCGGGGCCGATCTGGACATCTCTCGGAGGTTCAAGCAGTGCAACTGTCCTGTCTGATACTAGTGCTTGAGCGGACCTAGTAGCGCCTTGCCACGGGCAAAACTCCCGGCACTGTATAAACATGTGGTTGTGTCCGTCCAGTACAAATTGCTCGGCTATTTACCCATCCCTTACGCGGCTATGGAATCAGAGAGAAAAACGGCCTCGGAATTACTCATGTTCACACTCCACATATGTACCAAAACGAGCAGCACCCAGTTATTGATCTGCGCCATCGCCTACGCTCTGATACACTAATTCAACTGGAACGCCACTGGTTATCAGCCGTATTTTGCAGCGTCTCCAACCAGGCACAATGTGAATCACGTGGTCGCCCATCCTGGAAGTTGAGTCACACCGACACTACTCTTCCAAACTCCTCTGCCATATCAGAGGTTGACCTGCATTCTACTGGTGTTCGAGGATAATAGCCACGTTCCTTTAACAGGCGGAAACTTTAACTCCACACTCCTTAGCGGTATTCAAAGACGGTCTCGCTGTTTACCCGGGCTCGACTTATCGACTTGAATGACGCATGCTTTGTCCACTTTTCTGCCCTGAAAAAGCCTGATCAGGTCGACTTTCCACACCTGGATAACAGCTTTTTCAACATACCTTTAAGGACTGGTCCATTATTAAATTCGAGTGTATATGCTCTTGGAAAAATTTGAACTTCCGCATGTTCGGCTTATGGTGATACTTTTGAGGGAGTAATGCGTGATGGGTAGTCTTGAGATAGCACTTCACATTGATTGACGTGTAGCCTGGTATATAATGGTTCATGGTTCATGAATTATTTGTGGGTTTTTGGCACCTGTAACCGCCCTTGAAATCAGCACTTATGCAATCCGGCGGCTGTTCCTTCGCTTGCTTCCGGATGTGTAATTGGTTGGTTCCCAAACGCTGGCCTCTAATCGTTGTTGAATGGCATATTCTCGCCGGAAGATTACCCAGAGTGGTCTTTGGTTTTTTTTGGTGACCATTCAGACAGACTATAAAAAATCGAAACTAAAGCCCAGGGTTCCATACTTGATGCTTGGTTTTGTTTGCGCAGATTATTGATAACTACTACCATATACATTAATATTGATCCAGGCGGTTCATAGCCGAGACGAACTGAAGGTCGTTGGGCAGAACATTTACTGACTTGCCCACTGATCAAAGTTCCACTCATCCCTGCTTTTCAGACTTTCTTTCCTGATACCTTCATGTGATGACTGAGTTCAAGCTCAAAGTCGGTACTCGAGTTGAGGTAATGGGGAAAGACTCGATTGGTACGGTTGCGTTTATCGGTCCTACACAGTTCTCCACAGGTAAAGACCCATAGTTTTCTAATGCTTGCTTTTACATCCAGGCAAATGGGTTGGTGTCGTGTTGGATGAGCCCAAAGGAAAGAATAATGGAACAGTACAAGGCAAACGGTATTTCACCTGTGATGAAAATTTCGGAATTTTTGTTCGTCCAACACAAGTAGGTTGCAATGTGTCCCTCACAGAATATTGGTTTTCGTTTGTGGGTGGCTGCGTCAATCGGTGTTGGAGTTATTCGTGTGTTTACTGATTAGGATGTCCACTGCACTCTTATTTTAGATCCTGTTTTCTGCTGGATCTGCGCGCAGTTGTCTTCCTTAATGTGATTTGTTTATTTGTTTCTGGTCTCTTCGCTCCATGTCACTCTGTCAGAGTGAGAAGGGTACATTTGATGGTCATATAAGTGATATCTCTCCAGTATATTAGTCATCACGTAACATCAATGCCTTCTACTCACCTACTTTGCCCATTTTCTAAAAAAATCGAACTAAGCTACAAGTATACCCGCTACGGACCCTCCGTATCTTTTTTCTTGATCTATGGATTTTTGGATAAATGACAATCGATCCTTATTTCTTCTGAACACACTGTGTTCTCTCAGATCACGTGGATTAACTGTTGGTTGTGTGCGTTACTCACCAAGGTTAGAAAGCGTCGCTGTGGGGTTTATTAGCACCACATCTCACTGAATGGGTTTAGAAGTGGTAGCCCGCATACCTGATCAACCCTCTCAGAAATTCTATCTACTCTTAAACTTGAGGAACTTCGGTGTCCTGTATGCATCCGAGTCGTTTTTGTCATCCATTATTTTGAGATCAAATTCATTAACACTGTGGTTCAAGATGAAAAGCATCGAGTGTGTGTCATGAAGGTGACTTGTAGCGGTCAAAATTCAAGCGATTTTGACAAGCCCGGCAACTTCGTTTTGTCTAGATCAACCGGAAATCTATATTAGTTTGGAACAAGTAGATGTGCAGTTGATGGTATGGATTGTTTGTGCGTTTGTAGGCAACATGCTCCTGTCCCTCGATGGATAATGTTGCATGAAGCAAGTTACCCGTTTAGCAAATCCCTATCGGGTCGCTCACATCTTACATCCAGGGCTCAGAAGCAGAGTTTCAACTACGACTGGGACAGTTTGTACTACCCACCTAGAATAGAACGAGGACCTCTTTGTCATTCTTTACCGACTTGATCAGCTTTCTTCGCCCAGTGCAAAACTAGCAAGTATCAAACTAGATAAACAAACCAACATTTACACTTGCTAGCAACTATCCATAGGTGCTTTGTGTACGTGGAATTAATAGAAAAACTTACTCAGACGTCCACAATATTGTGATCTACTTAACTTTGAGCGGAAATAACCTCAGTCTACTTTCGATTTTGTTTAGATTCCACTCACCATGTGCCCTATAGATATCTCGATTTCATGATCCATATTGGTGGATTTCTAGTTGCTGTGTTCCCTACGTGTCATTTTTCTTCTTGAACTGAGGTCATTTGTTATTACCGGTGTCTTTTTGTTACCTGTAAGTGGTGATCTCTGCATGTGTGACAGTGTGTTGGTGTGGACGGAGCGAAAGTGCTCGCTCATTGGCCCTTTGCGTCTGTTCATGCCCTGTGCTGTATGTAAATGGGTCACACTGAACTCATGGTGTGCTTCTCACACTAACCTTAGCGTTTGTGACATAGTAGCCATATAAACAGAGAACCAAAAGCAGTAGCCAAACCAAATATCGTTGAGCGCGAGAAGAAACTCGGTTCTTGTCGTAAGCTCTCATTTTCCCCCATTCCTATGCACTGAAATTTCGTATTGATCATCCAGTCTTTCTTTGGCGGTGTGAGAACCATGAATTTATCTCTAGACACAATTGTACCCGTTGACAGATTAATCCACGATTTCCCCGTTTAAATACTTAGCTAGCAGAGCTAGATGTAAGTTTCCCGTTTATCGCGTTTTCCGTTTGGCCTCACCGATCTTCAGATAGATTTCTACTTGCGCACCGCGTAACCACTGCCGATTTCCCATGCACCCTGTTTATTGCACTCTCAAATGGAGAGAACAGCGATCTCTGTCCACAACTATTCATCAGTTAACGTTTTCTAACAATCTTATTGGAATGGTCCTGTGTGTGACCCACAGCATGTGGTATTGCGACTGCATCTTTCAATTTTTGCTTGAGTTTTTTCGCGTCTTGGTCTATCCGTAAGTCTCACGCTAGTTGACAACATGTCCAGCCTGCGTCACTTGGTGAATCATTTTCTAGATCACGTTTCTCAAAGTGACGGATATTGCACTTAACTCTAAACGACACGGACCAAGTGTGTTGTACATACGAACGCGGTGATATCGATTTTCTATGCTGTCTGGTGATCACTGCGAGGACAGCAAGATTTGAAGTCAAATTTTGTCGCCTTCTGTTGCATTGTATGAATTATGAAAACACAGGCGAACGATTTATGTAGATTCATCAAGCCAAGAACAAGGCTCAAGCATGCTACATTCTTCAACCCGTAAGGAGATGCCAGACCATACCTGGCATCCCTAAGTGAGGTCAGTGTTGGGTAATAAATAATAATAATCGTTCAGCTGTAACACCCTTTCAATGACACCCGAAGGAAGTACAAGGGCTTGGATACTGCCAGGTTGACTGAACCTAGACAGGAGAAGTCGAGAGGCAGAGGTCGGGTTCGCACTACGAACGTTATGGTCAGTGATCTCGCGCTGTATCCACAGAGCTACCTCATGTTGGGTGCTTGTTGCATATGCAGGGTGCTGTAGTATGAAACAGCTGACAGGTATTTGGTGCAAAAACTAAGTAGGAGCTTACTTGTGTTCTAAGGCAAAAATACCCAACAAAATGCAGCTAACTGGGTGGTCACTCATCAGTGTTTTAATGGAATTAGTAGTGGCTATCATATGGTAATCGTCGGTATCCGTCGAACGATTCTAATAAGTAGTTTAGAGGACCTTATGTTTGCAGTCTTATAAGCTGCGTTAGGCCATAAACACACTTTGGTATCTTGAATATCGTTCGAACCGAAACAAGGCGACTTTCGTGTAACGTCCAGTTGGGGTCATTATAATCGGGGTCGCCTCCCGTCAACACCGAGTTCATAAAAGCGCGTTGTTGTCTTCTGAAAATTTACCCTCACAATCGGTCGCGTAAGGATTTTCACTGCACCCTGTTATCTCGACGTTAACAGTCCTCGATCTTTCTTGTCCAACCAGCTCAAATTACTCGATGGGCCGAATGAGGCGAGTTTGATGTCCTCATCGGTCTTGTCAGAATCCAGCGCAATCTCTGATACCGGATCAACTCAATCAGGCCCGAAATCCGCCAAGCCACCAAGTCGGTCTGGTTCGTCTTCGTCACTTAGTTCGGTGAACAAAGTTTCAACTCCTGCTAAGGGTAAATCTGTCATCAATTTACACTTGATACGTATCCTGTGTTCCGTCCGATTCTCCATCGTTTTTTTAAAGTCCTCGATTTGTCCAACCAGCTCAAATTACTCGATGGGCCGAATGAGGCGAGTTTGATGTCCTCATCGGTCTTGTCAGAATCCAGCGCAATCTCTGATACCGGATCAACTCAATCAGGCCCGAAATCCGCCAAGCCACCAAGTCGGTCTGGTTCGTCTTCGTCACTTAGTTCGGTGAACAAAGTTTCAACTCCTGCTAAGGGTAAATCTGTCATCAATTTACACTTGATACGTATCCTGTGTTCCGTCCGATTCTCCATCGTTTTTTTAATTCTCTTACTGTGTATTGAGGTTTTACTGACATGGGTACTTTGTATGATATTGTTTAGTTCGTTCACATGCAGGTAGACAAGTAGTTGGATCTCCAGGTAGCTCAGTAGTTAAGGCGTGAGCAAACTGCCCTTGATTCCAAGCCAACCTGGGCATCTCCGCTGCTCCTGTCTAGGTTTGGGCAGCCTGGCAATATCACAAGCCTCGTAGTTCCTTCAGGTGGCATGGCAGCTAGGCACCGAAAGGTTGCTACAGCAGAATGACTATTATGATTAGCGGGGCTACTGGGTACAGTACCGCTGCGGTACAACCAAACTACTGCAAAGGACTACGTAGCTCGAGCTGAAGAGCCTGTTTTGCTGTACAGTAGACCAAGACTGAAGTTCACGTCAAGGAGGCATTGAGATTATGTGTAGTGGGCAAATGCTTCAGCACACTTCGGATTTTTCCGTTGATATTCATGTTTAGTCAGCAATCAGCTCTCCGTTTGGGTTCCGCAGTTCTCCAGTTTAGTTGTAAAACTAAAAACGGCGAAATTGTTAATTTTACTGCTTTCTTTTCTGTCACCGGGCCATTCTTTTCAGCTCAGCCTATTTACTTCTCAATGTATACGTAACTCTGCCTACTATGGACCCGATTCCAATTTTTAGGTGCGCAAGTCAAACCATCTCCATTGACTAGAACGATCAAACCACCGACACATTCGGCTGGTTCCCGTTCAGCAGGTAGTTTCCTTTTGTAGGACAG